TTCACCATGCTACCATCCAATTGTTTGGCTCTTATCTTTTTAGTAACAAACTCTTTCTCTGGCCAAAATCTCATAAAATCCTTTATACTTATTAAACTAATCTCTGCTCCTGTATCTAATAAAAAACAAATTTCTGCTTCCTCCATGTTTATCTTTACTCTAGGGCATCTATTTTTCATTAAAAAATTCTCTAATTCCATTTTTAGTACGTCTATCCTAGTTGCCTTTTTAATTCTATATATTTCAAAATCTCTACTTTTTATCTTTATATCACTTCTATTAATATCGCTTGAATTATAATTATCAACGTTAAAGCACTTTTTATCATCGCAAAATTTCTCGTTCTTATTACCATAATTATTTTTACTTGCACTAGCATTATCAACATTATCCAAATTCTCATTATTAAAATTAAAATCTTTATTCTTATTTTCTACTAAATTATCAACGTTAAAAAAATTATTATCATTACCAAATTTATCATTATAATTAAAATATTTATTCTTACCTGAACTAGAATTATCAACCTTAGAAAAATTATTATCATTACAAAATTTATCATTAAAATTAAAATATTTATTCTTACCTGAATTAAAACTATTAACATTAGAAAAATTATTATCATTACAAAATTTATCATTAAAATTAAAATATTTATTCTTACCTGAATTAAAACTATTAACATTAGAAAAATTATTATCATTACAAAATTTATCATTAAAATTAAAATATTTATTCTTAACTGAATTAAAATTATCATCCTTAGAAAAATTATTATCATTACAAAATTTATCATTAAAATTAAAATATTTCTCTCTTAGTCATTTATTGCAATTTTCTTGTGTGTGTCCTTCTTGGGCACAATTATTGCACCTTACAATTGAATTGTTTACTCTGCAACTTATAGCCACATGGCCATTCTTGCCACACCTCGCGCATCTTAGATTCTTCGTTATCTCACACTGGCGCGACATGTGGCCCGGCTGACCACAACTATAGCAAATTATTTGTCTGTAATTATCCGTTCGTATGAAGTTGTTTATGTTTCTTTTCTTATCTTCCTCTCTTAATATATTCTTAATATTTTCTAACTCTTTAATCTCTATCTTAACGTAAGTCGTATTTCTTCCTATAATTAAACCTAACGTGAAACTTAAAATAAGCAGCAAAAATATAATTATACTTATATTTTCAAGAATTAAACTTAATAAATTTATTTGCGTAATATACATTAAAGTGTACTCAATAACCACTTGATTAAAATAATTTTAAATAATCTTAAACAATTAAATAAATATAAACATACGAATAAAACCAATACCAAGATCCAAAATTTATATAACATCAATAAGAGAACCGAAATTATCAAAAATTTATATATATTTTTTATTATTATTTTTTTTTACCTTGTTCCAATGTATAATTAGACTGACTTTTGATCTTCTAAAGCCTGGATCAATCGCTGTAAGGCACCACTGTACCAATATGAGATTGATATTTATTGCTGAGGCTAGTGGGAGAGACTGAATATCTATGGAACTAATAATAAATAAATAAATATATAATTATTAATAATTTCTAATACTAATTCACTACTTTTACTCTTTATTCAACTTCTATCAAATCCAAAATAATCATCAAAATATCGTCTGTAAATTAATAATCAAAAAATCATCGGTCAATAAATAATAAAATAATTTTCGAAGAATCCAAATTATCCAAAACTGGGCTTTTTTGAATTAACAATGTATATATATATATAAAAAAATTAAACAATTTTCGAAGAATTAAAATGTATAAAATTTGCATATTTGAATATATATATAAAATTTATAGAAAAATATTATGTTCAATTTAAGATTATTTACATAGACAAATTACCCCAAAAATATTATCTTCGTCTACCATCTATTTATGAATAATCACTTTTCAAAATTAACATTCGAATTTGCATATACAACAGTTAATAATGCTTCTAACAGTAAGGTCAGAAGTATTTAATTATTTATAATAAGCGCATAGGTGTATATATATGATAATTTTTTAAATATAATTCTATTTTACCATCTTTTATCCGGTAGAAAGATTATTAAGTCGGAAATTTAATTAATAAGTATAGCAGAGACCTGCAGAGGTACCATTTGCACAGCCCGGTCCGGATTTTATATTTTTATGGCCCGGCCGGCCCAGATTTATTTAAATATTATATATTCATTTTTAATTTTTATATCTAATAATGGCGATTTAATATATTTGGTTTTAAAATATATCGCCCGGCCCAGGTATTTATTAAAAAAAATTTTTTAGGCCGGCCTAGGTATATTTAAAAAATTAAACCACGCCCTGCATGTAACCAAGTCGGGCTTAGAGCCAGGCCTGCAGGTCTCTGAGGTATAGATTAAATGATATTTTATTTGAAAAACTTATATTAAAAATAAATTTTAAATATACTAAAAGATATATATAGATTTTTCTTATAAATTAATTTGAAATGTAAAGGAAAAAAAAATATATATAAATTAATTAAAATAAACCGTTGATAATGTTCTAGGTCACATTTTTTTAAAATAATATCCATAAACCTTCTTTGTTTGATATTTCTTGCCAACATATTTATTATTCCTTTGTTATTTTCGCATATCAATTCATAACTTCTTACATAGTTTGTATTAATTTAACCTTTCAATTCCAATTATCCCTCTTTTATATCGCCATTTAGCTTTAATTATCGCGCTATTATACATTTTCTTATCCAATTGTGGCTTATCGTATATATTTAAACTTGCCAATATTTCGCTTCATTTTCGTCAAATTAGGAGCTATTCAGTTTTTGTATCATTTCATTATTTTTTTTAAATAAAACCTGTTAATATTAAATGTCATTTTTTTATCGCGCGCAAATTTTTCTTTTATATTCCATCTGGTCTATTAGTTTGGTGGTGCAAAATTCATTAATCGCATATTAATAATTCGCGCCTCTCTATCTCAATTTTATTTTCTCGCTTTGCTTCGGATTTTTTTTATATTTTAATCTCGCGTCATTTTTCGAGATATTCATTATCGCAACTCGACTAATATTTTCAAGCCTATTTTACAGTTCAGGCTGAACTATCGGGAAAACAATGAATAATTTTATTATATCTTTGTGATTAATTTCGTCATTTTATATATTTTTTACAAATCAATATAAATACATCAGTTAATCATAATATACAATTACAATTAATTACTAATTGCCTTTATTTTCAAGGTTGATTGATTCTAATACATCTATTCTCGCCTTTTTGGGCTTTCGATTTGAAACAGTTATTCTTAACCGTTTTGGGTAACGCCCATACTATCGATTTCAATCTTTTCATTTATGATGGTGTCCGGTTATCAAGCGTCTTTAGCTATCGAGTTTTTTATAAGATCAATATTTTAACGAGTTTTGTAAGGATCAATGTCTTTGTCTATTGTGTTTTTTATAGGATGAATGTTTTTGGCTATCGAATTTTGTATAGGATCAATTTCATCCATTCGTGGTATAGTTTTCCTTATCTTCCCTCCTTTCTATTTTTAAAATTGGAATCGTCAAACCTATGTTTTAAATGCTTAATATGTCTTTTAGCTAAAAACTCATTGGTCCTGTTCCTTTAACAATAATATTTAGTATTCAAATATCTTTAAAAATATTTTGCATATATTTTCTCATTTATATTTTAAAAAACCATGGATGAGGATAATTTTATTAATTGTAAGGGTCCTATGGGTTGAAATTTAAGCATAATTGAAATTGGTGGTTGTTTTGCGGTCATTTGTGGAGTATTTTGATAATTAAAAAGAAAATCTTGTATTTTATTATAATCATTATGTTTTTTAAAAAAAACTCTTAAAAGTTTGTATTAAACGCTCCGCTTCTCCGTTGGTTCTTGTGTGGTAAGGAGCACTATATACATTTCTAATTGTTAATTGTATCAAAATACACTGAATTACTTCAAAATGAGGGCCCATTATCCACAACAATCGTATTGGGGTAACCGAAAATAGCAAAAAATCTTAATGATATTTTTCTTACTTCAGTAAAATTATTTATCAAAAATTTTTGTTCATGTCATTTACTAAAATTATCTATTTACTTGATATATATCTCCGCATCTAAATGAAATCTTCTCCATGGTTTATTTGCGGATGTCCATTTCCGGGTTATTTATTTGACCTAATTCACAATTCTTACCGTGTAATTCGATGTCTTCGCCGCAAAATTTAAATAAAATCTTCCCCATGGTTTATTTCCGGATGTCCATTTTCCTATGATCGTTTTACCGCCAGGGCTATTTGTTTGACATAATTCACAATTCCTACCGTGTAAATGTCTTCGTTAATATTAGGCTACCAAACGTTTTCTTGGGTAATAATTGTGTTCATATGTAAATAAATACAAAATTTACTTTTAATTTTTTTGAAATTATGGTTCTTAATCCCTATAATATAAACCTTGCCTCTACCGTGACTTCATTTCAGGGTTGGAAAAACGGTTTTAGATTTTCCTCTATTATTTTCGGTCATTTATAATGTAATGTGAAACTTTTGATAGTACGGTCTTACGTGAGATTTTATATCTAACGCTGAAATAAATTGTGGAGCATTCGATAATATTAAATTAATATCTAAATCGTCCTACACAGTTTGTCTACCGTGAATTGGAAAACGGTAAAGCATATCCGTATTGCTATTTTTTTTCGTTCCTCTGCTAGTAGTAATGACCAACTTACCAATCTTGACGACATATCTGTTATTCTTTTATGTAGATTAAGTAACGTTATAAGTGGTTTATGATCAGTGATTATAGTAAAATGATTACCAATTAAATATTGCTTAAATTTAATTAATCCAAATATGATTGCTAAAGACTCACGCTCTATATGACTGTAATTTAGTTCGGCGGCATTTAATGTTCGAAAAACGAATCCAACTGGTTTTTCCTCGTTTTTATTGATATGTGATAACTGATCCTATTCCATGTTGCAACGCATCAGCAGAGAATTATCGGCTTTTTGGGATTATAATGGGCCAAAAATGGTGCTTCTAATATTAATTTTTTTAATTTATTATTTATTTTTGATAATAATTAATTTAACGATAAAAGCTTGCATTTTTTAACATTTTTAAGTAGCGTCTAAAATCGCAATGACATTCTTATTTGTTGTGATTCTCCCTTTGCTAATGGCATGACCTAAGAATTAAATCCTTTCTTTAAATAAATTACATTTTTTTAGATTTAATTTCATACCGTTTATTTCTAACGTCCTTAATACATTTATCAAAAATTTTTTATATATCTCAATTGATTCCCCAGTAATTATTATATCGTCCAAATATACCGCTATCCAAGGTTCCTTCTAATAACGAATCCATTGCTTGTTGAAAAATGGATGGCGCTGAAGCTATCCCAAACGAAAGTCGTGTGAAACGATACAATATACTTGGCGTATTGATGATTAACAGCTTTTTCGCCTCCTCATCTAGTGCTATTTGAAAAGAAACTTCTTATAAATCTAATACCATATATTTGGATCCATTACCTAGTGTGGCTAATAATACATTAATTCTGGGTATAGGATATTGATCAATCATCAAAATATTTGCATCAACGGTCTGTCGGAAGTCACCTATGGATCCATATTTTTCAGCACACGATCGGAGAAACGATATTCGAATATTACAGTTTTTCTAAAACTCCCATGGATTCCAGTCGTTGTAATTCTGCTTCTAATTTTATCTTCCACGTAAATGGTATAAGTCTGCTCTTAAGACCAGGATTGCCAGGTCAAAATTTTCAAATTGCGGGAGAAATTTGGATTATGCGGAAGAAATATGAAAATTGCGGTAGAAAAAAAATGGCTAAAAAAAAATTTTTCGCGGGCCTCGGCCTTAGGCCGGGATTTTGAATTGACTTAATTTTCCGCCTATTATTTTTTATAATTAGTTTATATAAATACAAAGTCGGTAACTATTTTTCAAAATAAAATAACATCTTGATTTAATAAAATAAATTTATAAAAACACCAACGATCTTTTTTAAATTAAAAGAATGTAAACAAGATAAAATTTTATAAAAAAAATTTTTTAATTTTACTTAAAAATATATTTTATGTGAATGTCCCGCAAAACGACCGATTGGAAATCTACCGTGTGTGTATATAACATTATAGGGTTAGGCACTTATTTATCACATATCACGTTTAAATGCATAATAAGGAGAAGGACTCCATAAATAAGAAATAATACTGCAACTACAGTTGCGGCAATTGTAATCACTTATCTTGTAGTACAACATTCACAGAGATACTTATCATCACAATGTTGGTAGAATCTTTTACCCATAATAAATGAAAACTATACTTGTAAAACAGAAATGAGCAAGGCTATCATCAATGTTTTAGGACCTAAATCCAGGAGGTCAATTCTTGACGTTTTGAAAGATGGGCATACATATGCAATTCTAACAGATGCATCTAATAAGGAAATATTAAAATATTTCTCTTGATCCTCCGCTATTTCAACAAAATTAAGGTCGTTTCAATAAAACTATTAAATTTTTTCCCTCAAATAGTGAAAAATCCAAAGACATAGCTAACTAATGGTAAATATAGCAAATTTGAGATTATCAATAAATTGCATGTTAGCTTTTTGATCTGATAATGCCTCAGTGAATTTGGTAAAAACATGGTTGAAAATTAAAATCATTTTGGATATATACCGATACCACTTTTTAGAGGTCGATCCGATCCGATATTAAATTTATATCGGCCGATTACCGATTCGATATCGTATATAATTTTGTATTCTGTAAAGATACCAATGGTTTTAATTTTTAATATTTTTATTAGTATAACATCTATAATTTAACTATACCAAACTTATGTCATTTAAATATATTATAATGATCAGTTATAGTTTATATTCAATTCGATTGCAATTCTAAAAGTATATAAAATATTTTTATTGTTAAATCACTTTTATATAATAAGTAATAACATTAATCTATATACATATTAAGTAATAAACAATTATATTATGAAATTTGAAATAAATATTTATAATAATATTTAACATTAATATCGAAGATTTCTTTTTAGAAATACCAATATTTCCAATTTATCAGAGGTCAGCTTGCGGCGATAGTAACTGTCAATATCACCAGCTTCACTAAAACAGATTCTGAAGAGATTATTGATAAACAGAATGCGCAAAAAAATAACAATATGAATGTTTATTAATTAATTATTATTATTAAAAAAATATACATAAAAATGGATTTCGATTTTATTTATAAAAATAAATGATTTCAGATATAACTATTTTTTTTAATTTTATAACATTTTAATTTTGTTCGGATCAAATTTTATAATATTGACCGATAACCGATATTTTAAAATGTGTAAAATATCGGCCCGATGCGATCCGATAAAAAATATCGACACATCCCTAATATATTATATTTATTATTTTAGAAAGTTCTAATTAGAGGAAATATTTAAGCTACAATTGATATATAATATTAGATAATTTTAAAAGGCTCTTAATAAAATAATTATAATAAGGTAGAATTTAACTTTATTAGTTACTTTTATTTATGATATAAGTAAAATTACATTACAGTATTTATTTGCAAAATTTAATCAATTTAAAATGCATTAAAGAAAATTGCTATGTAATTAACAATTAAATAATATAATGTTGTACATTATTTTCATATTTTTTATATATAATTAATGATTTTGCAAGAAATATATAAAAAAATTTAAAAAGAGATTTAAATGATATTTATATATATATGATATTACAAATGTAAGAATTAATAAGTCAAATTAGAAAATATATCTAATTTAAAAAAATACATAAATATCACAAACAAGTAATGATAAATACTTATCAAAGATAATGAATATTTTTTTTAGAGATGCCATTTAGCCATATACTCCGAATATAATCTATATTTAAAACAAAAGAAAATAACCTGCAAATTCTAATTAACCATTTGAATTAATTTTTTTTCTTATTTGCACATTTTCAACTACCTTTATATATACTACTCTCCCTTCCCTGTTTATACTATTAATGGGCAAAAATTAATATTAAAATCTCTGGTTATTATAAATTTTTTTTGTGAATACGAATGATTTTATTAAATTTCTTTTTACATAAAACCTAGTCATCAATAAATATTATATTAATTATTGCAAATATTCATTCTTATATGTGTATGCTATGTTCCACAAATAAATAATAAAAACTGTATTTTATAAACTATTCTAATTTAATTGGTAATTATAATTTCTTGTATTTAATTTAAGATACTCTAATTTAGTAAAAGATACAAGTATCTTTTATCTTGTAACTTTTTGATATTTTGAATCTAAGATTCATTTTTTTATAAAGAATCTGTATCTGTATCTAGATTCTTTTTCCAGAGGACCTGCCCAACTCTGGTATGGGGATTTATCGTTATCACGAAAAAATTCTACCCATTTGCCTCTGCTTTTAGACCATCTAACTTTAAGTATTTTGGCGAATCATAAAAAAAATAGAATTACAATCTCTTCAAACAAGGCATCAATGTCTTTCGGTATTTTTAGTATATTTATTAAATTATAAAAACCATCAATTGATGGTTCTGTTCCAAGGTCATAATATTTATACATTTGTAAATAGAGTTATTAAAATCAAATTTTGTAAATATTCTGAAATTGTCTTAATAAAAATATCTGCTTCATTTAAAAATGTATAATTAGAGTATTATTTGAACATAATATTTTTAGCAATAGCGCCATAAAATTTATTATAAATTTTTAACTGTAGAGATGAACAGAGCTGTAGCATGATTTTGTGAATCTTTATTAATAAAAAATAACTGAATATTAACTGCATTAAGTAGATTCTTGCTCATTTGTGTTCTAACACAAGTAAGGTTTGCACTTATATTGGGACATTAAATATGAGAAAAAGATTCGACCAACATTGTGATGCTATAGCTCTGTGATTGTTGAACTACATGATAGGTTTATACAATTTCCACAGCTGTAGTTGCATCTGTATTATTTATTATTTTGGAGAATATTTTTGCATTGATATCGAAGTTGATATACGATATACTCCCCTGTACTGACGTATATGAATGAAATGATGTTGATTTATTATTGGATAAAAATAAAACAGGATAAAAAGAAATTTACAAACTAGACATGTTTTTCGAATAAATATTTAAAATTTATTTTAAAAATATAAAAATAATCAATTACTGTCTCTCAAAATTATTATTTATATATTAAAAACATTAAAATATTATTTTAAAAAAATTCCGGAAAAAATTAAAAAATTGCGGTATATTTTTGCGGGAGATTTCTAATTGCGGTAGTTTTGCGGGAGAGAGATGTCTGCGTGTAAACTAAAAAAATGCGGGAGTCTCCCGCTGATGGAGGGAGACATGGCAACCCTGTTTAAGACATTGAAAGTTGGGGTTGGTATTTATCGATAAACTTGTTTTTTGTTCACTATTACCCCCCCCCCCCCCCAAAAAAAAACAACTCATTAATTATTAAATTTAGTTTATTAAATTTCTACATATCAGATTAATACCATTGTTTACAATTATAAATTCATGATATATAATTTTATTTTTATAATTTAAGGTATAATATACATTTACCTCTAATATTGGTCATTAAATTATAAGATTTTAAAATAATATCCGTTCTTGTTACTGGTATTTTTAAACAGTCTTATATTTAAAATGGAGACTATCGAATATCATTTATCTATAAATTATTTCACGTCAGTTTTTTCGCGACTCCTCTTGAGAATCCTAATATTCAAAATTTTCTCGCCCCTTTTTTGGGACATCTGCCATTAGAATATATTCTTTCTTCCTTTTGTGCCACAATCAAGACAAATTGCATTTAAATTTGGATGTGGTTTTCTAACCCAAAACAATAACAAATAATTTTTGATTTCTTGCAGATAATTTTGTATGTTATCATTTTGGTTATATCCATTGGTGTAGCGATTTGAACAGCATTTTCTCATGTCAAGTCTGGAGTGTTTATTTTTAATATTTTTCATTCGTAATTCTCAACACTAATTTATCACACACTGTATTATACATCTCTTTAAAATCACACGTGTTTGCTTTTATCATTAATTTACTTATATATTCTGTAATAGTTTTCTTTTCCTTGTTCCGCTTTGAAAAATTAATATCACTCCAGCATAAAAGTTTTCTTCGAGTAATAATTTTTTAAAAATTTAATTATATCATCGTATGATGTTTCAGGTAATGTCTTCGGTAAACACACAGTAAATAATTTTGAATAAACTTCTAATTCAATATTTGCTAATAAAAACTATTTTTTGTTCTCTATTTGGCGATTGCAAAAATGAATTTATAGATTACTTTTATTAAAATATTATTCATCAGATAAACTTATATATTTTTATTATAAACTTTACATTAATAAATGTAATGACCAGAGGCGTCACTAGCCTTTACAATCTCAGGGGGCTCAAAAAAAAATTTTTACATTATTTTCAAAATTACCTTTTTTTAATAGACATTATCTAAAATTACCATTTTTTTTGACCTAACATTATCCTAAATTATCTTTTTTTAGTGGTATAAAAATATTCAAAAATTATTTTAAATATATAATACATGTTTATTAAAATTATATTAAATGGAATCCACATAACTGTGCAATAAATAATTTGCAAGGTTTTTATTTGTAATTGTTTATAATATTTCAATTATGTAAATTGTATAAAAATTCTATAAAATTTATGCAAATTGTTAAAAAATAACTCAATAACACTCTCATATTAGCTAAGGTTAAGATTTGTAATTGTTCCAAGATATTCTGGATTAAATGTAATATCTGATCTGCTAAATATTCATTTCTATAATATGATCATGGATAGTTATCTAATAATTCTATTATTATAATTAATTTAATAATAGAAATATAAATTATTATATTCAGATCAAATAATGATGCTCAATTAATCAATTAAAAAATCTTTTGATCAAAAATTATTGATAGAAGGGTGTTTAATAAACTCAACAAGATGTGATGCAATATCAAACAATTTTACCTTTTATATACACAATTTATCTAATTTTTTTTAGTAAATATGTTTCACCTGGTTTAAAATTATTGCATAATATAATATTAAAAAGCAACTGGTTTCAATCGTTTCAGACACCATTTAATTGATGATAATTAAAAAAAAAATTTATATAATATTGTTTTATTTTATTTTATATTTGATGTGAGAAAACTATATTGAATAAAAATTTGAATTATTAAAAAAAAAAAAAATCGAATGCATTAAAAATAATCTGTTTGGATGGAAGTAATATATTTGGGTTTTTCTCACATCGAAAAAATGTTATGTTTAGAAATGGCTTTCGTGAAAAGTATTTATTTATGCAGAATGTTTTCGTCAAAGTGTTGTATTTAAATACTTTTTTTGAAATTTTTTTGTAGGTACTTTAGATTCGATTAATTTTTTTGAAAAGTTGCCCAACCATGTTCTCCAGTCATCATCTTTCATATTTTAAAATACCATGTTCTCCAGTCATCATCTTTCATATTTTAAAATTTTTAGAAATGTTTTTTTAGTGTCCATTTTTTTTATAACGACAATTACATTTGTCTCATCCTTCCCCACTATTATTAATAGCAACCTGCTTACTCAAGCAAAGAATAACAAAATAAACAAATACAAAAGCCTTAGTAATTTTATATTCTCACCAATAGCTATGTCTACCAACGGACAGTTCGTTTTAGTTTTAAAAAATTTAACTCATAAATTTAATTCGCATACATCTGAGCCAAGAGAATTCCTATTCCTCAGACAGAATATAAAAATCAATATTTACAAATTTAACTATTGTTCCTTTTTAGGAACTCAATTATATTTTTCTTAAAATAATTTTTTTTTAAAAAAATCTTAATAGTTTTAATAAATGATTTTAATGATAAAAAAATTTATATAATTATGCCATTCTAAAAATATATTTTTTTACTTCTATAAAAAAAATTACTCAATTTTATTGCACAAATATTAAAATAAATAAATTCATTTTTTTTTAAAAAAACAAGATTATAAATGACGACAAAAATAGTATTTCTTGATTGACATTTTTTTTTAATAAATAATATAAATTATTAAGCTGAAATGAGATATGAGTTATTTTTTGGTATTATCTTGAGATAAAATATTAAGTGTAATCACATATAAAATAAATAAAAAAATGTAATTATATAATAATATTCTTATTCGAAGAAAAAATAAATAATATATACATTATGTAAATAACATCTAAACTTTATCATTTATAGTTTATTTTGTACATTTATTTTTTCGTCCTTTCACTTACATCGTAGTCTACAATGAATTGGCAAGCTTTGATCATTTGAATTAAATTGAGGATAGTCTTAGCAATACAAATTGGTAGTGTCATATACAACATTAGGAGCCAACATGGGATACCCATTACTATATTTATTTTAATAAAATGCACCTTTTTAAATCGTAAATTATGAGAATAAAGATAAAAATATTATTGGGAAATTTTTTTGATAGTGGTAAAGATGTCAAAACCTATAAATAAATAAATCAAAATACGACGTCCTAGCTGTTTTTCTCTCGGGGTTGTGGACCCAGTAAAATTTTAGACGGGTCTGGTATAAATGGAGATTACTATTTCCTAAACTATCGATCGACGAAAATATATAAGCTTGTTTTGTAAAAATAAGAGTAGAGAAGAAGTTTTCAATTATTTTTATTACGTCTAAAAGATTTATTGGTATAAAAATTTTAAAAACTGTAATCAAGCTAGGGCATTTTTGATTTAATGAATAAAACTACGTCAATTTTAATTTTCTATATAGCTTATTAAATATAATTTATACATCAATATATTTTGCCCTATTTCATCTAAAAATTTAATCGATAACCCCCAAAAATTAACCTTTTCAAAAAATTCTAGGCAAAATGCTCCTACCCAACCTCAGCTTATGTAGACTCTATATATATGGCTAAGCGCCATCAATTTATCCAAATAATTTCTAAAAAATAATCTTAAAAATTCCTAAATCATTTAAAAAATTTATAAATAAAAAAAAAATATATAAATTTTAAAAAATGGGTTGTCCATTGACCGGTCAAATATGATTTAGTCAATTGAGCAATATTTGACCAGTCAAATATCGTCAAATTCAAAATGTTTTTTAAGACAATATTAACTTTATTTTATATATAATAAGTAAAAAATGAATCTGTGTAATATTAAATTATATTTTTTTAAATTATAATTAATTCGCTCTCCATGGCAGAGTTTTGTTCTGATTTATATTCAATATTATCATATTTTTAATCAATCTGAGGTTATGTACTCTTACCAATTTCTTTCTTAAAAGAAGTAAAACTAGGAATTGTTAGATATTTACCATATACACTTCTCTTAATTTTCAAGGTGGGAAAATCCCATTTTAACGCTTGAGACCGAAATCTGATTGTTTTTTATGAACGTTACTGCTTTCCAATTTTGGCAATTAAATATATAGCCCCTTCGAAATTTATGATCACTTAAAATATTTTGATTATCATAACTATAAAATGTTTAATTCTTGTATTATATCACATGCTTCATCAAACTCATTATTAGTAAATCCCTTTAATTGGGAATCACATAAATAATCAACAGTGTGAGCTAGAGGTCTGAATTGGGCGAGGTTTTAGCCAGCCCGCCTATCCATTTAAGTGGGAGGGTGGGCCACATTTACATATTTTTTCCGCCCAACCGCCCACCCATCCGTTCTTTATAAAAATTGTTACAACTTTTATTTGTTATTTAAAATCATTTATGTAAATATCAAAAATAATGCTCCATGAAATTTCAACATTTTTAATGCCAATCGATATCTGAGGATGTGTTGATATCTGAGGATGTGTTGATATCTGAGGATGTGTTGATATCGAAAACATGTATTTGCATGAAAGAATATAATATCAACGTGGATGAAAATATCCACGTCAAAATTTAACAATAACAGATTGGAAGATGTGGTTGTTATTAGGGGAACCAATATTAAAAACCCAAGATAAACGAAATATTGTATTGGTATTTTTTTAAACAATATTTTGTATTTCTTGTATTGATATTGGTTTAAATTCAAATTACTAAATAAAATAATAAAAATAGTCATTTAAAACACCTGTAATTTCTAGTTTTAAATAAATATGGGAAAAAAATCATGAAGCATTACCATAAAAATAGGACTAAGAACCAACTCTCAATGAATCCAAATTCTTTTTTTAAACTAGGAACTTATTAGGTGATGTCCTAACTAAACCAATCAAATAATAAACGTATTGATTTTGAAAATTCAAAAAATATAGCAAAATGAGTATACTAAAATATAACATAACTGTCTATTTATATATAATACAGTGCAAAAGATTGATATAAATTTAATGTAAGGAAAAATAATTTTATGTCTTTAAGAAGGATCCTGCATGCGCATCCAACTTTTTAGGGATAGTATTATCATCTAGTGAACAACGTTGGTCCGTTATGACATACCGTCCTTCTGAAAACCCCAGAGCTAGCTGAGGTAGCTGGAATTGCAAGATAATCTCTGGCAATTTTCGATAATATTGGATATCTATTTTGATTTAATTTCCACCAGTCTGTTGGATTTGTATCATTAGAAATTGTGACTTCATGCACATATTTGCTTATTTCTAAGCTATTATTGTAATGACTATGTTTAACTTGATATATTTTATCATAAAAGGACAATTTTTTAGATTTATTTTCTGTTTCATTTATATGTTTAGCTGAATTAAAATTATTTCTTATAAATATTATATTCTTTGGTTAGGTATCCAATGAGAGTGTCTATACTATTATCCTTTAATAGGTGACTTGAATTTTAAACAGTGGGTCAATCATTGTTGATATAATATACCAGGTGTTTATTAAAATTATAGTATTTATCAAGTTTTGCTAAGGCAGCTAAAGAAGCCCTCTTTAAAATAGTATTAAGAATATTAATTTAACTCTCAACATGCTCAAAAATGCTGGAATATAAAGGATGATGGTTGACTGATGGAGTGTTTGCACATGAGGTCATCACTGTGGCGAATTAAATGGTTGCAGAAATTCTCGCTATATTTCTTTTCTATATTATTCCAGGCTAAGGTGCTAATATAATTTTCTTGATTGGCATTTGTAAATGATTGGTATATGTTGTCAAATAGAGTTTGAGCAATATTGCCCTTTCAACCATTTGGTGTTGAATTTCAGCGTGTTGGTATATCCAAAATTGGGTAAGGAAATTTAAGGTTGGATCAAGAAATATTTTTTCGAGTTAATAAAATTTAAATTTTTAAAAATTTTCTTATTTTTTTAAAAGCTTTATTTATGAGTTCCAAGGCGGCCATAACAGTCAAATGTATAGCATGGCAAAAGAATTTGCACACATTATTTAAATTAAAATTATCTCTTTGATTTAAAATTTTAGAAATGCTAAATTATAACTTGCATTGTCTAATGTAATACAAAAAAAATCAGTTTCAAATTTTACTTTTAATACAGAATTAAAAATATTATAAATATTAATAGAATTATGTGCTGATTTAAAAGGAATGAAATCTAATAAATGATTATTTGATTTAAAATCATTATCAATATAATGAAATGTTATGCCCATAAAGGATATTTTATTTGGAGAGGACCATATGTCCATTTTTAAGGAAGATTTGGATGTAATGTTAGAAAGTATAGATTTTAGAATGTTAAAAGAGCTATGATAATGTTTCATAATGTCTATTTTTAGTGTTTTTCTAGAAGTGAAGGGTTACAATATGATATTAAATTTTTAAAAGTGATATCCTCAACCTTTGAAAAGGCTAAGTTATTTTGAATAAAAAAGTCTCTAATTAAATAATTAAAATTAGTTTTATTTATTAATAAAAATGATTTTAATGTGTGAATTTTTTTTACTGCCAATTCTATTTGTTCACAATGTTGGGTGGATGGATTTAAGGCGTGTTCATAACCTTGGTTCCAAAATTGTGAAGACATATTTTTTTTTGCATTTATTACAAATAGCATTCTTTTTGTTATCGCAACTCGTATAAAATTCCCAGATTTTTGCTGGTATTTCGTCTTTTTTTAAATATTGATGATTGTTCTTGTTCATTATCGTTATTAGTATCATCAACATTATCTATATTTACTAACACTAATTGGTCTTCAATATCCTAAATGAATAGATAAAAATTGATATCTTGTAAAAAATTTACTTCCATAATAAAAATATACTACAATTATAAATAACACCAATATATCACAATACAGAAAAGTTAGTATTTGCACTAAAGAAATATCGGATGTAATAAGTTTAGGCCGATATAATCACCCACGATAAAAGCAAGTAATTATATGTATTTATCTATTTTTAATATTGATATTGGGATTGGTTAATATTGTATTCAAATATATCAACCAATTAGGTCAACCAATACCAATATTTAATTATATATTTGTTTATATTGGTATTGGTACCCCTAGCTTTTACAGAGAGCACCTTACCTAATGACATAACAAAATATTTAAATCTTAAAGTAGTGAGTTTTTGTACAATTTAGCAAGATTTTAGGCTACTAAGTTTAGTTTAAGTTTACCATTTATAAACAATTAATTTAAATTACTTTTTTTTATTTATTATTAATGGTTTCACTTAAATAGAGGATATATTTCAAACAAATATCCTACTTTGGTGGAAACGACAAGAAAGAGATTTATCGAAGCTATCAAGATTAAGATCTTCTTCTGAACGAGGAATTAACATTGTGGGAAGGTTTATAGATAAAAAAAGGAACGTGAGTGAATCCAGAAAATGTGGATTCGTTATTATTTTTGCATTATAATTAGAAATAATCAACAAATATTAATTTTATATTTATATTTTTTCATAAGTGTTTTATTAAAATCAAATAAATTCCTTATCAGTAATTTAAATTAAATTTTTTTTTGATTAATATAGCAATTTTTTCCTCAGGTGAAGAAATTATAAAATCATGGCATGATTGAATTATGTGTTTTCCAAATTAAGCATTTCGTTTTTTACGTAGGCCATTCCTTTGCACTTACAGCAATAAGAGTGTAAAATGTTAAGAATAGTTTAAAATTTTAAATTTTTCGTCCAAGTTATTTCTTCATTTAATATATTATTCACAATATTTTTCGAACAAATATCCAAAATCTTTAACAGCTGCTTTCAGAGCTTTCTTGCATATTTGTATTTGTTCCTTGCATTTTATTGACGATGTACATCTTGTTTGGAGGCTTTAGCAAAATTATTATATTTATTTATATATTGATATCCAATCAAATTATTAATGAGAAAATTTTTTTTTTAAATAAATTGTAACTTAATTAGATTGATAAACATGCTTTAAATACATATTATTTAATTAAATCAATATATTTATTCGCCAATAAGAGTATATGACCAGGTCACATATGCCTTTGGTCAATTGATCGAATTTGACCGTCAATTGACTGACATGCCAACTCTGAAAAAAATAAACATAAAAAAAATAATATACCAGCAGAAAGAAGCGACATTATATACTGATTGCGTAATAAAAAGAATGACTAAGCATAATAATAATAAAAATTTGTATAATTAATTTTTATAATTACTCAAATAAACGATATATGTTATATGGCGTCTACTTTCTTTAAATAAAACCACATATTTTTATTTTACATAAAAAATTCAACATAAAATTAATAAATTTAGATATATTTAAAAAACCCGACCCGGCCCAAATTTTCTTAAAAAATATTAGGCCTGGCCCGGGTCTATTTTTGCAGATCTCCAAATAACACATCATAATAACCATGTGTTTGTGTATTTTAGGAATTAGGATAGAAATATTTTATCAGGACTATAAATACATAACATAATTATAATATTGGACTTACTTCTATAAGATAATTATTTTATTTATTATAGTTCACTTTGAGCAAGAGCAATCCATGATCATTATAACCAGTTATTTAAAACATATCATTGCATAACTCCTCAATATTTTAGAATTATGAAGAATCAATCAATAATTAATTCCTATTTCAACAATGTCAAGCACAGGCACAACGTATGATATGAAATGGTGTGAAATATTAAGATCCCTAACAGATGATTATCACTAATACCCGCCATGATAGAATTATAAAATATCACGAAACTCTAAAAAATTATTTTTTTAATAAAAATTATAAAAGCTGTCCAAATATTTTGAAAGAATTTTCCGTAAATGAATTGGCGGAAGAATATTTAAGCATGGTTTCACATTTAGGAAATAGGCTGTTAATCTTAATATGCAATTGCAATCACAAGAATCTTCGTTAATAGAGATTCACAAAATTATGTTACAGCAATGTTTAACTTTATAGCTAAAAATTGATAATAAATTTTATGGCTCTATTGTTAAAAATGTCATTTTCAATGTTCTAATTAATGGCTTTTTAAATGAAGCAGATGTTTTTACTAGCAATCAAAATTAGATTTTAGTAATTCTATTTACAAATGTATAAATGCAGGGATTCAAACCGAACCCGGAGAAGAAAACCCGGATTTTGGGGGAAAAAATTTGAACCCGAACCGAATCTGAACCCCGTTTATAAAATTTTCAAAACCCCGCAAACCCGGGAATTTTATTTGAACCTGGGTTCAACCGGGTTCAGTATATTGTTTAAATTAATAAAAGATATTTGTATAATTGTAAATATGAATTGAATATTAATAATTTACTTGACATTTTATAATATTTTCAAATTTCCAATTAAGTGAAGTGTTAATAAATTTTAAACAACTTAATTCATTTACTTTTTAAATTTTTTAATTTATTCTCAAAGATTCCTAATGGTTTGTTAATAAATTTTAAACAATTAAATTCATTTACGCCATTTATTTTTAATTTTTATTCTCAAAGATTTTTAATTAGAGGAAAATGAAAGTGAACAGGTCAAAGTAAAAATTATTATATTGAATATTGTTAATTGAAATACGTCTTTAAATCTATACATGATTATGCTTTGTATTTTTAACTATATTTTGCCTATAAATAAAATAAAAAATTCATTTTTTATACCAAATTTATGTCTAATTTTTTAATTATTATTTAAATATAGAATATTTTTTTTATAAATTCAAAAAATCTTAAACCCAAGCTGAACCCGGTACCAAACCCGGGTTCAAAATATTCATGAACCGAACCCGAACCGAACCCGGGCAAATGCCGGGTACGCATCTCTGGTTGTGACCGTGGAACAAAATCAACAATTGATGGATTTTGTTATTTAATAAATATATTAAAAGTATACCTAGATTTGTTATCTTGTTTAAGGAGATTTTTATACTATCTAATTTTTTAGATTCTCCAGAATGCCCAAAATAAATGGTCTAAAAGCATTGGAAAAATGAGTATAATTTTAACGATAAATCTTCACCCGTAGAAAGAATATGCGAGCATGTATTCTCTATTACATATTTTGAAAAAATATTAACGTTACTGACTATTTATAAGAATAAATTGGGTGGGGGGGGGGGGGTAACTAAGCCCTTTCACAAATCCGAACGAAGGTCGGCACCTGCAAAAAAAAATTCTCCTGCAATTTTCTTATTTCTCCTACATTTGCCCTTCTCTATCACATAAATTTTATTGGTGAGCCGGTCAGATGTTTACTGGCCTTTGATGATTATCTTTTGCTCAATATTAATTTCACATGCTTTTTTGTGACAAATTTAAATGATAGCATTTATTTTTAAAATTTATAAACTCTTACTACATGATATATTTTTTTGCCTGAAAAATTTCTGCATGAGAATATTAAAAAATCAAAAAATAATTACATTTTTTTAATTATTTTGGCCTTGGTAATATTAATTAATACAATTATTGTGTATTAGTCGATAGATTCACATCAAGGCTATATAAACTTGGTTAAAAACCTTATATGGAGTAGGATTACCTTTATATTTAAAAATAGGAGTGTAGGAGGTATAACAGGAGTCTCAAATATACTTTTTAGTTTATGACTATTTACCAACTGCGCGTATTGTAGCAATAGTTTAATAATACATTACATGGACAAATGATATCGATCATGTAAATAATGTTAATTTACTTTTTGCAATATAATATGATAAATTACATTTGGAAATTTGTTTTTTGAAATGTTGTAAATCACGTGTTCAAAATGAACGCGTTTGTGAACGAAGTCCGCGTTCTTGAAAAAAAATAATCAACGAGATTTATTTTATTTTTGACAAACTTTAAACGTGAACGCGTTCCCTTTTTTGACAAACGCGTTTGTTTTTTTTTAGTTTGTTTAAATTTAGAAAATCTTATTTTTATAATAAAAAATATTAATTTAATATTCTAAATTTTTTTAAGAAAATGAATTTTTAAAAATAAGTAAACCCGATACTTTTTTTGACAGTAATGTTCGATTTTTGTCAATGAACGTGGAACGCGTTCGATTTGTTTTAGAAATGTTTACAGCACTAGATTTTTGTAATAATTACACTGACTCAGGTCATTGCCATATGAATATGGGTTAAAAGATTAAAGCTTGCCCTTTTACTAAATATGCCAGGTATTATGTTGGTGATGACATTACTACCCTTTATAAAATAGTATTCCATAAAATGTGCTAATATATTCATTATAAATGCATTTGTTGCAAAAACCTGATATATTAATTTGGATAAAATCTTATTAGAGTCATTTTTTAAAACTGGCCCAAATAAGGCAATTTAACAACCCTAGTATTGGCAAATCTGTGGTAACATCTTAACTTATTAAAATTGGTATATAATTACAGTGTTGTGATGATTTATGAAACATATTGATGATTAAATTAAAACCCATTTATATAAATGTTAGTTTATATTTTAATTATTTTTGCAAACATAAAAATATTTTTATATGGATGGGTTTTAATTTAATCGTTAACATGTTTCATTAAATCATCACAACACTGTGTATGAGCCTTTAGATTCAAATGATTATTCCAAATATAATTCTAGATAAAATATTAATTTTTTATTGTATTATAAAAACCATTCTAAATGTGATGAGTAAATATTAAAAATTATTTTTAATATAAATTTCAACTCTTATAATGTTATGTCAAAAATAATTTTTGATATTTAAATAATAAAAACCTTTAGGTCCCAGGTTAAAGTTTAATAAATATAAAGAGGCATAAAATAATTCATTTCCAGCACACATACAAAATAGTAACACCTATATTTTTTTAAATTTAGAATAATTTTTATTAATTACCCGTGATGAATAATAAATTTTCATAAATCGATTACCACTTGGTGAAATAGTTTTATGAGTTTTGCCAACTAAACTAGAGCTATATTTATAAAAATTTAAATTAAACTTATTAATATTTCATAACCTATATATATGTATCCAGTGGCTACATATGTCCAAGCATATACTGAGTTGAAAAAGAAAGGCCCATCTGGGATAGAATGAGCATAAAACAGTCAATAAAACTAGTGTACAACATCTATCAGTCAACATATCTAACATTGCCCCAAAATGTGTGCCTTAAAACTGTAGATAAATTAAGAAAATACAAAGATACCTTACTCTGTTTAAAATATCTGGCCGCATAACCATCAAAAGCATCTAATAATTCACTTGAAACATATAATATGATAGCTTTTTTGTAATCATAAGGCATAAACCATATAGAAAAAATTGCTAATATAATTCTGATGTAACCTAATTTTTTAAATAAAAAGGCATATAAATAAACATTTAACCTAATAAATTTGGAATAAATATATAGATATTATCAGATTTTTTGAAGTTATTGATAATGTCCATAAAATCAATAATTTTTAATTTTTGGATAAATGATATTTAGCATATGTTAATATGTTTAAAAAAAAAAAAATTAGCATCCTGGCACCTTCAATATTTTTAATTATTTTAAGGTTATTAATCGAGAATAAATCTCCCTATTAGGTTTCTCTTTACTGTCAAAAAAATGAATTAAAAGAATAAACAACGCTCCTTTGTTAAATTTATTGAAGATATTTATTTTTAATTCATGAGTATTGCTGCAGATGGCGATACCCTATAATTAATTTTCATAAATATTCTTTTTCTCTTCATCTTATTCTTGTAAAAAATTGTATAAAAATCCAAAAATTAAAAAGTGATCTTTACATTAACTTTTTCAACCAGTGCCGTTACCCTGAAAAATTTGAATAGACCACTGAATCAAAAAATTTTTTTTAATGGCTCCTTAATATGAACTAAAAATAAATTTTTTTGATTGCCCTCTGAATCATTTCTTTTATAATTCTATTAAATAATATATAGATTTAATTTTATTATTTAAAAATTAATAAGACTATCTAAATTTTTATTAAATGAATACTATTATAATTATTAGATTAGGTTAATACATATAAATTATATTTTCATTATGTCCGCTTGCAATCAAATTCTGAATTAAATAGAATATCAATATCATTCACTAAATATTAATTTAGCATCAGTTGAACTAATTGATTATTTTTATTATATAAAGATTATTTGAAATTAACAAATTTAATATTGTAATTAGCGGAGTTCAAAATCACGAATCAACTATATTATTCATTTTTGAATTTAATTACCATGCCTCTTCCTAAAAATATTTTCAAGGTCTAAATAAGTATATGAGATTTCTTTATAAAAAGTAAGTAGATATATAGTTTATAATCCTATTATATATAATTGGTTATAAAATATTAGATACACTTTTACAGACGCATTTGTCAGTTATATAATATACTAGGGATAGCCCGTCAAAAATGACGGGGAATGAGAATTTTCTTCTTACATGCTAGTTGTTACCTGTTATTTGAAAATAATAACCAATTCCTATTCTTTTTACCCCCCCCCCCTTCAATACCAATATTATTTGTTAAATATTACTGATCACTTGTTATACCTAGTATTTAATATTAAAAAAATTCCCAGGCAAAGTACTAAGCCATAATAATTTTGAAAAATTCTCCCAAGCCCAATGAAAGATCATAATAATTTTGGTAGTTGAGAACTGAAATAAAATATTTAAACAATCATAATGAACTTAAAAATACAATCAAAATCAGATTTTCATGGGCCTTGGTTTTTTGATCAGGCCGAGCCTAGGCCGGCTAAGACCCATAGTTAATAATAAAAAAATTATCAAACGTTCAAGCTTATAATAATTTGAAAAATTTTCCTCAAGCCCAGCCCAACATAATTTATAAAAATATTTTCCAAGCCCAGTCCAACTCACAAAATTATTCTCAAACCTGGCCAACCCATAGTAATTTTCAAAATTTTTTCCCGAACCAGGAGATAGATAAATTTCTAAAAACCATATCTATTTTTTGTAACGTGTGAAAGTGATTACCGTGAGATTTCGAATTCTCACACCATCAAAATCTCACGGCTGACACCGTGTGAAAGTGATTTCATGAGATTTTGATTTTTATCGCTTCAAATACATTGGGGGCCATTTAAACCATCGAAATCTCACGGCTATTCAATATTTCAAAATCTCATGGATTTTTTCAAAATCTCATAGATATTTTTAAAATCTCGCATTATTAATTTAAATATACTTTTAAAACGTCAGATTTGAATGAGGCTGTCAATTTAGAAAGATTTCTATATAATACAATTTAATTTGAAATTCTTTTTCATTATGAAGTAAGAGATTTTTATAATTTACTTATATAGTCGAAAAACATTTATGGGATATTGAGATTTTTTTCGTCTGCGGGAAAATGGCTGATGTTAAATCGCACTCACAATTTCATTTTCAAGCACACTATATTCCTTAAATATTTACTTTGCGACTACATACATTTTTTATGACATGAAAAGCCTGACTTCTACTCTTCTGAATCAAAACTAGTAAATTCTTTCAAATGCATGGAAGATGTTTGGGAGAGTAATGAGACTCTTTTTTAATTGCTGAGGATTATACATAACACATAATATATCTCTGTCAAGTTATTACTTTTATTCATTAATTTTTTATTTTTTCTATATTCAAAGAAATAATTTCTCTTCTTTATTTACTAATTTATCTCAATCAATTCATCATAACTTAATTCTTTCTTATCTTCTCCAATTCTTTACCTAAGTTATTATAAAGTTTAGCAAGTACCATTATAAATCAATTATTTATTTCCTTTAACAATTTATTTTTTCTATATATTAATCTTATTAACTTAATTTAAACAAAATAATATAAATCAACATTTAATATAATTACAACTTCTTTCTTAAACAAAATTTAACTTTAATCCTCTCTTAAAACTCAATTTCATGGATATTTTCTTATTTATCATTTCTCTTGTCTGCTTTTTGCTTTTTCAATTTTCCAAGTATCGTCTGATTTTTTCCCCATTTTTTTTTCTATTTCAAAATTCAAATTATCTTACAATTTACTTTAAAATTTATATTATGTCAATTTTCAAAAATCTAACAATCTACTCCTACAACATTCCTGGCCTACTTTCAAAAACAACTATACTTAGGAAACTCCTTGATCAATATGATATTAACATTATTTTAACACAAGAATCTCTTATTACCAATAATATTTAAAAAAAAAAAAGAGAAAACAAAACAAAAAAAATAAATAAATAAATTACAAAAACTAATTCTTCTTCCTCTTTACTCCTTAATCATCCCCCCCCCTTTTTCTAATACATATTCCTATCTTATCTTTTTTAATAAATAAACATTATTTACAATGTGGATCCTGGCTTATCCACGAGTGGTACCCGTCATCCCACTCAAATTAAACGGGACCCTGTCAGTAGGGTAAATTACTGTCAACTTTGTGGATCCTGGCTTATCCACGAGTGGTACCCGTCATCCCACTCAAATTAAACGGGACCCAGACAGTAGGGTAAATTTTCTGCCAAACGGTGAATGCAAATTCACTGCACTGGAGACGCCCTCTATGGGGTGGTGGAGTGCCCACTTAATTGTGGGATGTCTCCCCAGTGTATAATATGATATGATATATGATATGATATTATGAAGTAAGAGGTCACTTTAAATTATATTAAATTTTCATTTTTATTAAACTAATCGATAAAATAATTATATTGAGATTTTTTTCGTCTGCGGGAAAATGGCTGATGTTAAATCGCACTCACAATTTCATTTTCAAGCACACTATATTCCTTAAATATTTACTTTGCCACTACATACATTTTTTATGAAATGAAAAGCCTGACTTCTACTCTTCTGAATCAAAACTCTAGTAAATTCTTTCAAATGCATGGAAGATGTTTGGGAGAGTAATGAGACTCTTTTTTAATTGCTGAGGATTATACATAACACATAATATATCTCTGTCAAGTTATTACTTTTATTCATTAATTTTTTATTTTTTCTAGATTCAAAGAAATAAATTCTCTTCTTTATTTACTAATTTATCTCAATCAATTCATCATAACTTAATTCTTTCTTATCTTCTCCAATTCTTTACCTAAGTTATTATAAAGTTTAGCAAGTACCATTATAAATCAATTATTTATTTCCTTTAACAATTTATTTTTTCTATATATTAATCTTATTAACTTAATTTAAACAAAATAATATAAATCAACATTTAATATAATTACAACTTCTTTCTTAAACAAAATTTAACTTTAATCCTCTCTTAAAACTCAATTTCATGGATATTTTCTTATTTATCATTTCTCTTGTCTGCTTTTTGCTTTTTCAATTTTCCAAGTATCGTCTGCTTATTTTTTCCCCATTTTTTTTTCTATTTCAAAATTCAAATTTATCTTACAATTTACTTTAAAATTTATATTATGTCAATTTTCAAAAATCTAACAATCTACTCCTACAACATTCCTGGCCTACTTTCAAAAACAACTATACTTAGGAAACTCCTTGATCAATATGATATTAACATTATTTTAACACAAGAATCTCTTATTACCAATAATATTTAAAAAAAAAAAGAGAAAACAAAACAAAAAAAATAAATAAATAAATTACAAAAACTAATTCTTCTTCCTCTTTACTCCTTAATCATCCCCCCCCCTTTTTTCTAATACATATTCCTATCTTATCTTTTTTAATAAATAAACATTATTTACAATGTGGATCCTGGCTTATCCACGAGTGGTACCCGTCATCCCACTCAAATTAAACGGGACCCTGTCAGTAGGGTAAATTACTGTCAACTTTGTGGATCCTGGCTTATCCACGAGTGGTACCCGTCATCCCACTCAAATTAAACGGGACCCAGACAGTAGGGTAAATTTTCTGCCAAACGGTGAATGCAAATTCACTGCACTGGAGACGCCCTCTATGGGGTGGTGGAGTGCCCACTTAATTGTGGGATGTCTCCCCAGTGTATAATATGATATGATTATGAAGTAAGAGATAATACAATTTAATTTGAAATTCTTTTTCATTATGAAATTATTTCTCAGCTTGTAAAAAAATATAAAAATTTGATTGAGTAATTTTATGTGATCTTTCGGTCTGCGGGAAAATGGCTGATGTTAAATCGCACCTCCAAGAAATAATGATATCTATCAATTCTACAAATACTTCTATCACTCACAATCTCATTTTCAAGCACACTATATTCCTTAAATATTTACTTTGCGACTACATACATTTTTTATGACATGAAAAGCCTGACTTCTACTCTTCTGAATCAAAACTCTAGTAAATTCTTTCAAATGCATGGAAGATGTTTGGGAGAGTAATGAGACTCTTTTTTAATTGCTGAGGATTATACATAACACATAATATATCTCTGTCAAGTTATTACTTTTATTCATTAATTTTTTATTTTTTCTAGATTCAAAGAAATAAATTCTCTTCTTTATTTACTAATTTATCTCAATCAATTCATCATAACTTAATTCTTTCTTATCTTCTCCAATTCTTTACCTAAGTTACTATAAAGTTTAGCAAGTACCATTATAAATCAATTATTTATTTCCTTTAACAATTTATTTTTTCTATATATTAATCTTATTAACTTAATTTAAACAAAATAATATAAATCAACATTTAATATAATTACAACTTCTTTCTTAAACAAAATTTAACTTTAATCCTCTCTTAAAACTCAATTTCATGGATATTTTCTTATTCATCATTTCTCTTGTCTGCTTTTTGCTTTTTCAATTTTCCAAGTATCGTCTGCTTGTTTTTTCCCCATTTTTTTCTATTTCAAAATTCAAATTTATCTTACAATTTACTTTAAAATTTATATTATGTCAATTTTCAAAAATCTAACAATCTACTCCTACAACATTCCTGGCCTACTTTCAAAAACAACTATACTTAGGAAACTCCTTGATCAATATGATATTAACATTTTTTTAATTTTAACACAAGAATCTCTTATTACCAATAATATAAAAAAAAAAAAAGAGAAAACAAAACAAAACAAAACAAAAAAGAGAAAACAAAAATAAATAAATTACAAATTATAAAAACTAACTCTTCTTCCTTTACTCCTTCACCCCCCCCCCTCCTCCTTTTTTCTAATACATATTCCTATCTTATCTTATAATAAAAAACATTATTTACAATGTGGATCCTGGCTTATCCACGAGTGGTACCCGTCATCCCACTCAAATTAAACGGGACCCAGACAGTAGGGTAAATTACTGTCAACTTTGTGGATCCTGGCTTATCCACGAGTGGTACCTGTCATCCCACTCAAATTAAACGGGACCCAGACAGTAGGGTAAATTTTCTGCCAAACGGTGAATGCAAATTCACTGCACTGGAAACGCCCTCTATGGGGTGGTGGAGTGCCCACTTAATTGTGGGATGTCTCCCCAGTGTATAATATGATATATGATATGATTAAGAAGTAAGAGAAATTATCTATGAGTAGTGTTGTTGAAAGGGTTGATTTAGCCAATTTTTTAAAAACGATTCATTAAAATTTTATCTAAAATAATATTACTTAAAATAAGTCTTGAAATTTCGCTAATAGATACGCATATCTTTCAGTTATATATGAACAAAATCTCCAGATTTGTGTAATATTTATTGGTTGAAATAGTGAATTAGTCGTTTTTAAAATTAAAATGTGCTTAATCAGCCGTACCCATGATAATGAAATATTGATGGTTTCATTTTCAAGCACACTATATTCCTTAAATATTTACTTTGCGACTACATACATTTTTTATGACATGAAAAGCCTGACTTCTACTCTTCTGAATCAAAACTCTAGTAAATTCTTTCAAATGCATGGAAGATGTTTGGGAGAGTAATGAGACTCTTTTTTAATTGCTGAGGATTATACATAACACATAATATATCTCTGTCAAGTTATTACTTTTATTCATTAATTTTTTATTTTTTCTAGATTCAAAGAAATAAATTCTCTTCTTTATTTACTAATTTATCTCAATCAATTTATCATAACTTAATTCTTTCTTATCTTCTCCAATTCTTTACCTAGGCTACTATTATTTATCTTTTATTTCAATTATTTATTTCCTTTAACAATTTATTTTATCTATATATTAATCTTATTAACTTAATTTAAACAAAATAATATAAATCAACATTTAATATAATTACAACTTCTTTCTTAAACAAAATTTAACTTTAATCCTCTCTTAAAACTCAATTTCTTGGATATTTTCTTATTCATCATTTCTCTTGTCAGCTTTTTACTTTTTCAATTTTCCAAGTATCGTCTGCTTATTTTTTCCCCGTTTTTTTTTCTATTTCAAAATTCAAATTTATCTTACAATTTACTTTAAAATTTATATTATGTCAATTTTCAAAAATCTAACAATCTACTCTTACAACATTCCTGGCCTACTTTCAAAAACAACTATACTTAGGAAACTCCTTGATCAATATGATATTAACATTATTTTAACATAAGAATCTCTTATTACCAATTATATATAAAAAAAAAGAGAAAACAAAACAAAAAAGAGAAAACAAAAAAAAATAAATAAATTACAAATTACAAAAACTAATTCTTCTTCCTCTTTACTCCTTAATCACCCCCCCTTCCCTTTTTTCTAATACATATTCCTATCTTATCTTTTATAATAAATAAACATTATTTACATTGTGGATCCTGGCTTATCCACGAGTGGTACCCGTCATCCCACTCAAATTAAACGGGACCCTGACAGTAGGGTAAATTACTGTCAACTTTGTGGATCCTGGCTTATCCACGAGTGGTACCTGTCATCCCACTCAAATTAAACAGGGCCCAGACAGTAGGGTAAATTTTCTGCCAAACAGTGAATGCAAATTCACTGCACTGGAGACGCCCTCTATGGGGTGGTGGAGTGCCCACTTAATTGTGGGATGTCTCCCCAGTGTATAATATGATATGATTTTGAAGTAAAGACTTTTTTTGTCTGCGGGAAAATGGCTGATGTTAAATCGCCACCTCCAAGAAATAATGATATCTATCAATTCTACAAATACTTCTATCACTCACAATTTCATTTTCAAGCACACTATATTCCTTAAATATTTACTTTGCGACTACATGCATTTTTTATGACATGAAAAGCCTGACTTCTACTCTTCTGAATCAAAACTCTAGTAAATTCTTTCAAATGCATGGAAGATGTTTGTGAGAGTAATGAGACTCTTTTTTAATTGCTGAGGATTATACATAACCCATAATATATCTCTGTCAAGTTGTTACTTTTATTCATTAATTTTTTTATTTTTTCTAGATTCAAAGAAATAAATTCTCTTCTTTATTTACTAATTTATCTCAATCAATTCATCATAACTTAATTCATTCTTATCTTCTCCAATTCTTTACCTAAGCTACTATAAAGTTTAGCAAGTACCATTATAAATCATCTATTTATCTTTTATTTCAATTATTTATTTCCTTTAACAATTTATTTTTTCTATATATTAATCTTATTAACTTAATTTAAACAAAATAATATAAATCAACATTTAATATAATTACAACTTCTTTCTTAAACAAAATTTAACTTTAATCCTCTCTTAAAACTCAATTTCATGGATATTTTCTTATTCATCATTTCTCTTGTCTGCTTTTTGCTTTTTCAATTTTCCAAGTATTGTCTGCTTGTTTTTTCCCCATTTTTTTCTATTTCAAAATTCAAATTTATCTTACAATTTACTTTAAAATTTATATTATGTCAATTTTCAAAAATCTAACAATCTACTCCTACAACATTCCTGGCTTACTTTCAAAAACAACTATACTTAGGAAACTCCTTGATCAATATGATATTAACATTATTTTAACACAAGAATATCTTATTACCAATAATATAAAAATAAAAAAAAGAGAAAACAAAACAAAAAAGAGAAAACAAAACAAAAAAAATAAATAAATTACAAAAACTAATTCTTCTTCCTCTTTACTCCTTAATCACCACCCCCCCTCCCCTTTTTTCTAATACATATTCCTATCTTATCTTTTATAATAAATAACATTATTTACAATGTGGATCCTGGCTTATCCACGAGTGGTACCCGTCATCCCACTCAAATTAAACGGGACCCTGACAGTAGGGTAAATTACTGTCAACTTTGTGGATCCTGGCTTATCCACGAGTGGTACCTGTCATCCCACTCAAATTAAACAGGGCCCAGATGGGGTGGTAGAGTGCCCACTTAATTGTGGGATGTCTCCCCAGTGTATAATATGATATGATAAGTAAGGCATATTTTCCATTTAATATATTATATCATTTCTATTGTGAACATAAAGTGAGTATGTTTATGCTATTTTGATTAATGCGATTTAGACCTGAATCCAATATTAAAAATGAATTTTTTTGATTTTTCGTCTGTGGGAAAATGGCTGATGTTAAATCGCCACTTCCGAGAAATAATGGATTACCATATCTTTATTTGAACTCCCAGGCCTATTTATTTTTTATTTAATCTTTTATATTTTATAGATATCTATCAATTCTACAAATACTTCTATCACTCACAATTTCATTTTCAAGCACACTATATTCCTTAAATATTTACTTTGCGACTACATACATTTTTTATGACATGAAAAGCCTGACTTCTACTCTTCTGAATCAAAACTCTAGTAGATTCTTTCAAATGCATGGAAGATGTTTTGCGAGAGTAATGAGACTCTTTTTTTAATCTGATGATTATACATAACCCATAATATATCTCTGTCAAGTTATTACTTTTATTCATTAAATTTTTTTTTTTTTCAATCAAAGAAATAAATTCTCTTCTTTATTTACTAATTTATCTCAATCAATTCATCATAACTTAATTCTTTCTTATCTTCTCCAATTCTTTACCTAAGCTACTATAAAGTTTATCAAATACCATTATAAATCATTTATTTATCTTTTATTTTAATTATTTATTTCCTTTAACAATTTATTTTTTCTATATATTAATCTTATTAACTTAATTTAAACAATATAATATAAATCAACATTTAATATCATTACAAATTCATTCTTAAACAAAATTTAACTTTAATCCTCTCTTAAAACTTAATTTCATGGAAATTTTCTTATTCATCATTTCTCTTGTCTGCTTTTTGCTTTTTCAATTTTCCAAGTATCGTCTGCTTATTTTTTCCCCATTTTTTTCTATTTCAAAATTCAAATTTATCTTACAATTTACTTTAAAATTTATATTAAATTAAATACAATATATTATATTAATCAGTTAGAATATCATATAATAGAACATTTAAGATATTAGTAATTTATGTAATATTAAATATAAAAATAAAATCATAAATTCAATATTAATTAATGAATAAAATTTAGATATAAATTGTAAGTAATTAGGGGGTATCAGTCATTGAGAATATGAAGCTGAGGTAATTGGATTTTATTATATTGAGGGCTAATCTTTGGCGTAGGTAGTAACCCTCGTTGGGATCTTCGGTCCTAGTAGAGATCCGTTTCCCCAGCTCTTTAAAGAAGGCAAGGGCGTGAGAGCCGAACGATGTTAGAGTCGTGGCGATTAGTGGTAGGAATGTGTAATTGGCCGGAAGCGATGGCGAATATTTAGCGAGTTTATTCGTCTCGACGTCTACTAGAGCATCTCTATTTATATTGGGAAGGGGCAAGGGGATCGATGCATGAGAAATCCCAGGTTAGAAATTCCCCCCTCTTCCAAGGGATCATGGTAGAGCCATCGGGACGTTTACCATCAGAATTGTAGAGTCCAGTGGGTTCTAGGGTTGATGGGATACCAGCAGATTTTAGGGCCCTGGCAATAGTATCATTGCATTTTGAATGTCTAATGAATCTGCCTCTACAGCGCTTGCAGTGTAAAGAGTGACGGCCTTTGGAGTTGACCGGCGTTTGACAAAGGATGCAGTGATAGGGTATTACCATATCACAATTAAGTCTTAGACTGATGGCGTGACGTAGCTCATCATTGCTTAGGAGCTTGTCAAGGTTTCGCGATGGAAAAGCTTCGAGAAATTCATACCCGCTGTCTGCGGAAATGGAGAAGAGTAGAGAATGGTCCTCGGGTTGGCTCCTCGATTTAAGGTAAAATCTAATAATCTACTCCTACAACATTCCTGGCCTGCTTTCAAAAATAACTATACTTAGGAAGCTCCTTAATCAATATGATATTATTACTGTCAACTTTGTGGATCCTGGCTTATCCACGAGTGGTACCCGTCATCCCATTCAAATTAAACGGGACCCTGACAGTAGGGTAAATTAAATTACTGTCAACTTTGTGGATCCTGGCTTATCCACGAGTGGTATCCGTCATCCCACTCAAATTAAACGGGCCCAGACAGTAGGGTAAATTTTCTGCCAACAGTGAATGCAAATTCACTGCACTGGAGACGCCTATAGGGTGGTGGAGTGCCCACTTAATTGTGGGATGTCTCCCCAGTGTATGATACGATACGATTATGAAGTAAGTTTTTAACAATATATTTTTTATTTCAGAAATATTTTAGCTCAAATTATAATGATATTTATGACTTCCTAAATAAATAAATATATTTCATTCATATTATAATTTATCGCCTTATATATGTATTTTTTATGAAAGTTGTAGTTTATAAATAATATTCAATTACATTCTGATATGCAATATATGATAATAATTATATTTTTCCATGATGTTTTTATTAAATTTAAAATTATCTATAAATATTTATATCAATAAAGTTCTTCGTCTATTTTCTTATACCAAATAAAGTTTTATCTAATATTTGTGACCCAATTTAGTACAAAATAATATAGAGATGGATTATCTTTAAAACATTATAATAGGTAAACAAAATAAGCATTACGATTAAGCCATTTAGGCTAAGAATTTATCTTATTGTTTCTTTGTAGTGATTTTTAGAGGGTTGGGTAGAAAAGGCGGTTTGCCTCTAGTAAATTTTCTGTCATTTATGAGATTTGTCTAAGTTAATGTCTATCGAGAAGATGTACTCTGTATAAGAAATATCATGGGATCGGAGTATTTGGTTATTTTATAAATTTCATGTTGTGTAAATTAGCATATTAGTAAGGATCTCTTCCCTACCTAAATATTGCTAAACTTTTATTATGATATTGATTGAAGGCTCCAATCAATAATCTGAACTAAAGGTCT